TTCCCCAACAGTTGCCATCAAATCTGATCTCTAGGATTTCCAGTCTTTAACCTCCCACTTCTGTCTCAACTGGAATGGTCGCTGTCTTGACATCCACCTAATATCTGCAAATGTGGTTCTGAGACATCTATTGAACATGTGCCACTTTCCTGAAGCCATTACTATGTAAATGTCCCCTTTCCCCCTTCCTTTTTAATATCTGTTTATCAATTTTAATTGTAGTTGATAATCTTTCAATGATATTTATTTTCTTTGCTACCACTTGAACAGTGTAAAAATAACAAAATGACTTCACTATGTGGCTTCTGCTATAAATACAGAAGAAATGAGAATACATGTAGTCTTTCCAACTTTCCTACAGCTGCCAGAATGTTTGGCTAACTATAGTTCTTATCATATTATAAACCTAGATAGGAACGCAGACACCATGCATCAGCACACATGAGTTTCGCTCAATAGCTTCATTTTTAAAAGAAGAACAGCAGCACCTCAGAAACAAATAAGCTTCTACTTTGATTTCATTGGCACTTTTGATGCAATCCTTCTGGCACCAGGAAATCTAAAGATTTTATCATTGGTAGCCACTAGGGCCATGAATAATAAGAACTTTAGCCCAACACAATTGTAATGGTTCCAGATGAGAGAATGGCTATTATTGTGTAGTGGGTTTTTTGGAGGCATTAACCAGACCGGGTTAATACAACAAGATTTATTGCAACAGAAACGGAACTGGCTTAACTGGCAAAATGATGGCTATTTATACTTGCTGCCTCTAGGCGGTGACCAATCAATTCAAACTGTGTTTTCCCGCTCAAATTTGGACTTAACTTTTCCCTCCAAAACAGTTGGAGACACGTTTAAACTAAAACACATTAGCTCTTGGGATCAATACATAACACCCCTTCCCCCTGGATAAAGTGGCTTCTTGTATACATGATGTACATAGTCTTTGAGGTAAACCAGTAGGTTGCGAGTTCTGCCAGAATGCTGCAAAGTTGTTTGGGTTTCCGACTCAACTTACCAGTTGTCCACACCGGGTAGACCTATGCCGCAATAGTCGTTTGAATCAATAGACGGCAGAGACGGTACACCTGTGCTACTATATGCGTTCGAGTCATTTAATAGCGGAGGCGGTACACAGATCCTTAGTGCCTCTGTCTCTTTAAGCACAGTCTCGGCAGGTGTGGATGATGCTGGAATGGCAGTTTCACCTGGAATGTCTATAGTCTTTTCTAATTCTACTTCTGAGCTCCGCTTTGTCTGCTGGCACTGCAACTGGTTAATGTGGCATCGGATCATATGACCATCATCCAGAACCATCTCATATGATAGTGGCCCTGACACTTTCGTAACTGTAGCAGCCACCTACGGTGCCTCCTGCCCATAGCTCATAACCCAAACATGCTCACCCAACTGTAGATTCCTGGGAGGCTTGGGTTTTGCCATTTCAGCAGCTATCCTGTCAGGGTGGAGGCGGTCTAGCTTTGTTGTGAGCTGACATCCCCACCTTAGTTCAACTGGGCTGTGTTCCATTGCATTGCATGGAGTTGTGTGCTGGCATAAAAGGAAGTTTGCCAGGTGATGATTCCAGTCTCCCTTAGTCAGTCTTTTAAGGGACTCTTTAGTGGACCTTACCATCCGTTCAGCCTGGCCATTGGTAGTTGGATGGAACAGAGCCAAAGTGGTGTGTCTAATCATGTTAGCATTAAGGAACGACTGAAATTATGCTGCTGTGAATTGTGCCCCATTGTCAGACACAATGATGTCCGGCAACCCATGTGTGGCAAATAGCTGGTGCTGTTCCTGGATGACCCTGGCAGTAGTCATAGATTGGACAGGTACTACCTCTAACCATTTTGAATAAGTGTCCACAACAATGAGGAATACTTGTCCCTGAAATGGATCGGCAAAGTCAATGTGCACGCGAGACCATGGGACTTGTGTGGTCTCCCAGCAGTGCACAGGTGCCTGGGGCATTTCTGGATGGGTCTCTTGGCAAACCTGACAACTCCTTACTTGAGCCTCAATGTCCTTGTCCAGGCCTGGCCACCACAAGTAACTTCTTGCAATTGCTTTCATTCTTACGATACCTGGATGTCCCTCATGCAGAGATTTGAACACTCTAGTTTGCATTTTGGGCAGAACAATTACTTTGCTTCCCCATAGCACACATGGACTGACAGCTCATCTTTTCTGCATGTATAATTCTGAAACTCTGGACCTGGTCTGTTTTCTGGCCACCTCCTCAACACCCAGTTGAGAACATGGCTGAGTGTCCATTAGTGGCAGTTTCAGCAGCTACATCTCCCGCATGTAGGGGTGTCTCTGGAAGATCCTGGATTGCCAAGATGCAAGCTGCTGGGGCTAGATCTGGATCTGTGTGTGTGGCAAGGGCAGTTGGCTGAGTGCACCAGCATAACCCATTTCCTTGCCAGGCTTATGGACTAGCCTGTATGAATAGGCAGTCATAAAGATTGACCATCGCAGCATCCTTGGTGACAGGATCTGCGGAGTCTGCTTGTCAGCCATAAAAAGGCCGAGCAGCAGCTTGTGATCTGTAAAAATTGTAAAGGGTCACCTATATAAAAAGTCATGGAACTTCTTAATTCCTGCAACAATAGCAAGAGCTTCTTTATCAATTTGGGCATAGTTCCTCTCAGCTGGTGCTAATGTCCTAGAGTAGTAAGCAATAGAGGCTTCACAACCATCTGGCATTTGATGGCTTAACACTGCCCCAATGCCATAAGGTGATGCATCACAGGCTAATGTCACTGGCAGTTTCTCGTTAAAGTGAGCTAACACGGAGCTCGAAGATAGCAGTGATTTGACTGCTCTGAATGCCTTGTCATGGTTGTTTGTCCACACCCAAGGTGTTTTTTGTCTAGCAGACAGTTGAGTGACTCTTCTAATGCTGCTTTGTGTGGCAAAAACAAGTGGTAAAAGTTTAATAGTCCCAAGAATGCCTGCAGCTCCCCCTTAGATTTAGGTCTGGGGGTTTGTTGGATGGCTTTGAGCTTAGCATCAGATGGATGGATTCTAGCAGCATCTATCCGGAATCCCAGGAATTCTGTAGAATCCATGCCAATTTGACATTTGTCCTTTTTTAGCTTCAAGCCCACCTCACAGAACCTTTGAAGCACTGTCCTGAGATGTTCAGCTAGGACTGCTGCTGATTCTCCTGCAATCAAGACATTATCAAAATAGGGGCAGGCACCAGGTATATATTTTAGTGTCCATTCCATAACACTTTGGAACAACCCAGGGGCTACACTTACCCCAAACTGTAGGTGGCGTACTTTGAATGCCTCTCTGTGGATGATGATGGTCTGCGGTGGCATGGTCGACTGGTAGCTGTTGATATGTTTGTGCAAGATCTAGCTTGGCAAACAGGCTGCCTCCTTGGAGCGAGGCTAGAATGTGGCTTACCACTGGAACTGATAAACGTGTTGCTGAAGTGCCTTGTTGATTGTGCACTTGTAGTCTGAACAGATGCGGACGTCCCCATTAGGCTTCACTGGGGTTACTATCGGAGTCTCCCACAGGCTACTGTCCATGGGTTGGAGCACTCCCTGTTTCACTAGTTTGTCCAGCTACACATCAATCTTCGGTTTTAAAGCAAAGGGCACTCTGTGTAGTTTAATTCTAATAGGAGTGACTGTCAGGTCAAGGTTTAGGGAAATGGGCACCCCTCTGTATTTCCCTAGGTTGGAACTGAATACATCAGCATACTCTTGGCATACTGCTGCCAGGTCAGCTGCTTGTGTGAGATGGATGCCCGTTACACAGATGCCCAGGGCTTCAAACCAGTCCAATCTGATGAGACTGGTGCAATGTCCGTTGACAACTACCACACTAAGGGGACCCTCAAACTCTTTGAATTTAACCCTTACAGTGGCTTTACCCCTAACAGACACATGGCAATTTTGAAAGACAGTTAGGATAAGGCTTGATGGTTTGAGTTGAATTTGCCTCTTGCCCTTTCTACAATTATAATCAAAAGTCTTGTAAGAAATGATTAACAGAGCTGACCCGGTGTCTAGCTCCATAGAACATGGGAATTTGAAGTCTCAACTTCTCTTTGAGGGGGTGTTGGGCTCCCGTCCGCTGAATACATCTCCTCCCTGAGCAGTATCCAACCCTGTTCTGCCCCAGGGCCCATCTACCTTTCTGAGGTACATCTGCAGGGCTAGCTTCTTTCTGGAGGCCTCTAACATCCTGGCAATGTGGGCTTACATCCCACAGGCACGGCACACTGCTGTGTGAAACCTGCACTCAGTTCTTTTATGTTGTCCTCCACAGCTGGTGCAGATCAGAGGAAGGACCGGTTGTTCTGTTGCATGCTGCCATCTAAATGGCTCTTTTTGGAGTCGGTCAATCTCATTGACTTCTTCTGGTTCACTCAGTCTCTCAGTGTTCTCCTGATGTATTGCTGCAGGACTGGAGTGTGTTTTCTGAGGCCGGAGTGCCTTCACTGCTCCGCCCGCAGCCTCATCTGCCATGACTTCCTTCAGAGCATCTTGGAAGGTTAGCAGGGTTGAAGGTTGGCAATTAAGCACTGTTGCAACTCTCTGTTCAACAGTCCACACATGAGTCTGTCTTTTAGACAATCTTCCAAGTCAGGGAACTCACATTGGCGTGAGGCTTGACGAAGTGCTGCCACAAACTCAACTACTGATTCACCTAACTTTTGCTCCCTTTTTTCGAATGTGTGACGTCAAGTGATAATGGACAGCTTTGGCTCGAAGTGCTCTTTTTGCCTCCTCTTTAAATCTGCATAATTTACTGATACAATGCTTGCTGGTGCTACTAGATTCTTGGCGATGTCAAATGTCGCTTGTCCAGATGCGCAGAGTAGATTAGCCGCTTTCAAGCCATCTTCTCTAACCTGGTTGGCCCGCAAGTAGTTGTCCACCCTGGAGATGTTAGAACTCCATTGTTCTGGATGGGAGACATCGAACTCATTTAGTTTTCCAAGCTTGGCCATGGTAGTCGTTCAATGAAGTCCTGGGTTCTGCCTCTCTTGCTGTGAAAGGAGATGAACTGCCTAGATACTGGAGACAGATGCCACAGGACGCTGTGCCTCCAGTTTGGCTTAATGGCAGGCAGGGTGAAGACGTGATCCCAATAGGGCTCTGGTGCCTGGGCTAACACTCTGTGACTTCAACTCTAATAGGCATCATTCTCTCTTTCCTCAGATCCCATCTTCATTGCCACTATTGTGTAGTGGGTTTTTTTGGAGGCATTAACCAGACAGGGTTAATACAACAAGATTTATTGCAACAGAAACCAAACTGGCTTAATCGGCAGAATGATGGCTATTTATACCTGCCACTCTAGGCAGTGACCAATCAATTCAAACGGTTGTTTTCCCGCTCAAATGTGAACTTAACTTTTCCCTCCAAAACGGTTGGAGACACGTTTAAACTAAAACACATTAACTCTTAATATCAATACATAACAGCTATTAAGAAATATTTTTAAGTCTCAGAATAAGGATAACAATAAAAAAGATGCATGAGAAATAATGTATTTAATAATAAAATATTTAACAATAAACAGTGCTCTGGATAAATAGGATTAGTCTTCTTCATCTTCCTCCCCCTCTTCCTCTTCTGAACTACTGTAAATAGAAAGGGAATAAAAGATGATATTACAATGTGCTTATAAAACTGCATAGTCTTCTAAATGGTCTCTTCAATTTTTGTCAAACTATTATTATTATAATAGGTCCAGAATCCTTATTCTTTTCTGAGAAGAGCAAGAATTTCAGTATTTCAGAGCTGTTGAATTTCTGCAATGCAGAGTAGTGACCATGCAGAAAAAGAGCAGAAGAGAGCAACTATACATAGCAAAGATCAAGGGAGTCCTAAGACTGGCCTGTCACAGTTCTGCTTCTTGATTGCTCCTGTTTGGCTTTTCCAACTGCTCAAGCTGTTAAAGGTAGAAAATAGAATACCTAATAGAAAATCAATACCCTTTTTTCGATTTCATGTCAGAGCCAATGACACTGCCAAAAAGGGCTTGAAAAGAATATTGAGAAATTATGAATAACTAGGCAGGATGGCAGGAGTTCAGAGTGCAAGCGGTGTTTTCATCCATATTTCCAACAAAAAGTAGAACAGACACGTTGCTGTTAGCACTCTGCTAAACAGAGAATCAGCAATGTTGTCACTGTTTGTTTTCCTATCAGTTTTTTTTCTACTGGTACCTATCTTTTGCTATGAGATGTATTGATATACAACACACTGTGTCAGAATCCAATTATATTTCATCTCTAGTTATCAAATATAGAAAACCCCAATTCTGCCTTCTCTGGATTCTGCCATAAGAGGAAGAGAAGGGGGTGAACAAAGGGGCTTTATGGCCCTCACTTCCTTCAGTATACTTCAAAGGAACTGAATGTGTGTACTGCAAAAGAACTAACCATAAGAATGGGGCCATTTCTTTTCATGTAGTTTCTTTGAAGTCTCCATCCAGCCGGCAGTAATGAAAAGGGGGTGGAAGTGTAATGCCTGAGACTGTCGCTGAAAGAGGGGGTTGATTGGGTGGGGCTACTGGGGAAACCCTTAAAACCTTGAATTGGAGAGCTTGGACCCCAAGTCCTGTCTAGAACGCCTGCAACCATTTTCTCTTAATAAAGGATTCCTGTTGGAAGAATTATTCCAAGAGTTCTGTCTTCTTAAGATGCAAAGTGGGGTGGGTCCTTACATTAGACAGGACTTGCAAAATTAATCCACCTGGAAGGGAGACCCTTGCCGGGGGATTTTGCAAAAAATTACCATGTCAGACAATGGAGCAAGAAAGGGGGAGAACTCCCTGGAAAGAGAGCCGCTGACCCAACTGGAACCTTGCCAGATGTTGGGATCCGAGAGGTCAGATTCCTCAGGAGAAGAAGTGGTGGAGACATGGGACCACAAGCCTCGCTGGTCAATGGGCGTTGGAAAGAAAAGTGAGTGGGGAAAGGAATCAAGAAAGGTGACCCTGAGACGGGGGACCAAGCAACCAAAATGGAAGCAGGAGATGGAGAAATCCCTGCACGCAAGTGAAGAGGGAGAAAGCTGGGCACCGTACTCAGACTGGATCCTAGAGAAAGCTATTGACCTGATGAAGAGAACTCTCAGCTCCTTAGGAGAGGAGAATCCTGAGCCCTATGGCCGCCCCAGCTCCTGGAGCCGTAAAGGGAGAGACACCGAGGAGGACGTGGAACCTGCAACCCCGGGGACATCTACTGATCCAGTAGTCTGCACCCCCTACCGGACCACAGATGGCGATCTGGATGGAAGACACTACCACCAACAACGGAGGCACTGATCCATTCCAAGACGTCTGCCATTGGAGGTGAAATTCAAAGGGGAGCCAACACGCTTGGGGTTTTTCCTAACCCAAGTCTTCAGCTACATGGAGGAATATGGGCAGGACATCCCCAGCAACAAAGCCCGCATCCGGATCGTGCAGTCTGCCCTAGATGGACCGGCTGCAGATTGGGTGGTGAACTTGCATGACTCCAATGCCCCAGAACTCAGCAACTTCAACCGTTTCATGTCCTCTCTGAGAAGACGATTTGAAGACCCCCTGGCTGATCGCAAAGCCCGTGAAAGGATAAAAATGATGAGGCAAGGCAAATGCCCAGTGGCTGAATATACACAAGAATTCCAGGCAATTGCCAGCAAACTGAACTGGCCAGAAGACATCCTCCTTAGCCATTTCAAAGACGGACTAAATTATGATCTATATGACGCTTGCCTGCCCCGAGGGGACTCACACCAACTTGAGGAATGGTACATCTTGGCAGAGGAAGCAGAGATCGACATATTGAAAAGACACCGCCGAGGAAAACAATGGAGCCGCTCCCCATCTGAGTTGACACACAACCAGTGAAACCACCGGCTACAGCTAAGAAACAAATGGGGTGTTTCAAGTGCAGAAGAGAAGGGCATTGAGCCATAGAATGCCGCTCCAAAGCCCCCCAGCACAACCCAGACAGATCCCCAATCAGCAAATCTGGAAAGTCTTCAGCTAAGCCAAAAGAAACTGCCATGAGAATGATGGAAATTGCAGAACCCCCCACTTCTGCTCACCAAGAGGAAAGAACTCCAGCCTACACCACAGGGCCAGTGGATGCCTCAGATGACAGCTCGGAGGGCAAACCCCTGGTAAGTGGACACATCACACCCATCCTCAAGACAGTGACTATATTAATTCCCCCCATGCCCGAAGCTGTGAAGGTGAAAGCCTTAATAGACTCTGGCTGCACCCACTGCCTCATTAGCCCAACACTAGGGGGGAATCTGGGCATCCCATCGAGGAGACTGGAACAACTAATCTCATTTGGCCAGTTAGATGGATCCATAGCGGGGGGGGGGGTGCCAGCTACCCTAGCCACTCTACCAATACACCTCTCCCTGGGCAAACATGAGGAGGACATAACGTTTGTGGTGACTCCAGGCATGGAATGCCCAATGATCCTAGGGATGGAATGGTTAAAAAAATGGAACCCCTGGGTAAATTGGAGGACGACAGAAATCAAATTCCCGAAGGGGGACCCTATGGACTTAAAACCCCAAGGGAGGCTACCAGAATCAAGAATAGAAAAAGCATCCATAGGAGAGGAAAAGAGACTAACAGAAATACCAGAGGAATACAGAGACCTTGCTGAAGTTTTCAGTGAGGAGAGGGCGAATGAGCTCCCCCCCCCCGACCCACAGACTGCACCATTGAATTCAAGCCTGGGGCAAAACTCCCGAAACCCAGATTATACTCCATGAGCCCAAAGGAGAAGGAGGAAATGGAAAGATTCATAAAAAAAAACCTAGAGAGAGGTTTCATTGAGCCAGCCAAGCCTAAAGTGGCTGCCCCGGTCCTTTTTAGAGAGAAGAAGGATGGCTCTTTACGTTTATGTGTGGATTATAGGGCCCTGAATACAATCAGTGAAAGCAACCTATACCCTCTGCCCCTCATGAAAGACATGCTGTCACACCTATCGAAAGGGAAAATTTTTTCTAAACTAGACCTAAGGGAAGCTTACTATCGTGTGAGAATTAAGGAAGGGGACGAATGGAAGACTGCATTTAACTGCCCCATGGGGTGCTATCAATTCAAAGTCTTGCCATTTGGATTACAAGGGGGCCCTGCAGTCTTTATGCAATTAATCAATGACGTTCTAAGGGAGCACCTGTTTAAGGGGGTCCTTGTTTACTTGGACGACATTCTTATCTTCACCGAAACAAAAGAGGAACATGTCAACCTTGTCAGAGCGGTTTTAAAGAAGCTGCGAGCTGCCCACCTATATGCCAAACTCTCAAAATGCGAATTCCACCAGGAAAGGATAGACTACCTAGGTTATCGCATATCCCCCCAGGGCATTGAAATGGACCCAGAGAAGGTCAGAGCAGTATTAGATTGGGCACCACCCTGCACAAGAAAGCAACTACAAAGTTTCCTGGGCTTTGCAAACTTTTACGGCCAATTCATCCCCTCATTTGCCCGGATAGCCTTGCCCCTCAGATGACAGCTCGGAGGGCAAACCCCTGGTAAGTGGACACATCACACCCATCCTCAAGACAGTGACTATATTAATTCCCCCCATGCCCGAAGCTTACTAAAAACGAAGGGAGCATCCTCAGTAAAACCTAGCCAGCCACTAACATGGACAATGGAGTGCCAAGCAGCGTTTGAGAGACTAAAGAGACTTTTTTCTGGCGAACCAGTACTAAGACACCCAGACATGGACAAGCCCTTCGTAATACAGGCAGATGCAAGTGATGTGGCAGTGGGGGCTGTTCTATTACAAGAAAATGATGATGGAGTATTGCAACCATGTGCATATACATCCAAGAAACACACGGAAACAGAACAGCGCTGGCCCGTATGGGAGAAGGAGGCATGTGGGATACGTTGGGCATTACTCATGTGGCGACAGTTCCTGGAAGGCAACAAAATCCCCTTCCAGATGTGGACTGATCGCAAAAATTTGGAAGCCCTGAAAGCACCCAGGAAGCTCAATCCCAAACAAGCCCGCTGGTCCCAGCATTTTCACCAGTTCCAATTTAAGCTCAAACATTTACCAGGGAGAAAGAACTTCCTGGCAAATGCATTATCTCGCATGCCTCAATATAACAGCACACGAACCACAGACTCTAAACCAATAATGGCAGAGTCACAACTGGCAGCACCAGTAACCACAAGAACCCAAGCCAAATTAAAACCACAACTGGACAGCCAAACTGGAATTGAATTCAGAAAAAGTTTGGAAACAGATGGATGGTTCCAGAAAAACAAAAATGTGTGCACAATGAGAGACGGGTTGCCTTGGGTAGGGGAACAACCCACTTTCATGCAACTTTGCCATGACACAAAATCAGCAGGGCATTTTGGATTTGTAAAAACTTTACACTTAATTAAACGACAATTTTGGTGGCCATCCATGAAAAAGGACATTGAAAGTTATATAGCCAGTTGTCCAAAATGTGCCACTGCAAAGAGGTTGCAAGGGAAATCGCCAGGACTACTACAAACAGTGGCAAGTCCCTCAGCCCCCTGGAAAGAAATAGCCATGGATTTTATAGTGGAATTGCCAGAAAGCAATGGGAATACTGTCGTCTGGATGGTCACGGACTTGTTTTCCAAACAGGTGCACTTTATCCCTTGCCAAAAGATTCCCACTGCAAAAGCCTTAGCAAAACTTTTCATCCAGCACATTTACAGATTGCATGGGGCACCCCAACACATCATCTCTGACAGGGGGGTGCAATTTACGTCTGCATTTTGGAAGGAATTTTTATCCCTCTTAGGAACCACTCAGGGACTGATATTTAGCCACCACCCACAAGGAAATGGGGGGGGGCTGAAAAAATGAACTCCGTACTTAAGCAATATTTAAGATGTTTTCTTAGTTTCCAGCAGACCGAGTGGGCGGACTTACTCCCTTTTGCAGAAGTTGCCTACAATAATGCAGTCCACTCCAGCACAGGTTACACTCCTTTTCAAATAGCCACCGGTCAAAGTTTCAACCCCATGCCAGAATTAACCCCAAACGAACCAACGACCCCATCACTGAAAGAATGGATGGAAAAACTACAAAACATCTGGCCGATAGTTAGAAAAGCACTAGATGAAGCTAGATGGTAGAGGACAGGAAGACCTGGAGGAACGTTGTCCATGGGGTCGCGATGGGTCGGATACAACTTTGCAATTAACAACAACAACAGTTGAAGCTAGGCAGGCATACAAAGCACAAGCCGATAAAAAAAGGATTGAGCCTACACCATTCATTATAGGTGAAATGGTGTACCTATTTACAAAATACCTAAAGTCCCTACAACCCTGTAAAAAACTTGGACCAAAATATATAGGGCCTTTTCCAATTAAAAGGATCATAAACCCAGTAACAGTAGAATTAGAATTACCAAAAAATCTCAGGCAAATACACCCAATTTTTCATTGCAGCTTGCTGAAAAGAGAGCATCAGTCAGTTTTACGACCAAAAATCCCCCCACCACCACCTCCACTCATGGTAGAGGGCGAACAACACTTCGAAATAAAGGAAATCCTAGACTCTAGGAGATATCATGGAGCGACTCAGTACCTAGTTGCCTGGAAACACCTCCCTGCCTCACAAAACGAGTGGGTCCATAAACGTCATGTCAGAGCCCCGAAGCTATTAAAAAAGTTTCACACAGAGTATCCTAACAAGCCTGACTAACTTTTACACCTGTTTTGTTTTCTTTCAGGTGGATCTCTCTTATTTTTAAGAGGGGCCGGATGTCAGAATCCAATTATACTTCATCCCCAGTTATCAAATATAGAAAACCCCAATTCTGCCTTCTCTGGATTCTGCCATAAGAGGAAGAGAAGGGGGTGAACAAAGGGGATTTATGGCCCTCACTTCCTTCAGTATACTTCAAAGGAACTGAATGTATGTACTGCAAAAGAACTAACCATAAGAATGGGGCCATTTCTTTTCATGTAGTTTCTTTGAAGTCTCCATCCAGCCGACAGTAATGAAAAGGGGGGGGAAGTGTAATGCCTGAGACTGTCGCTGAAAGAGGGGGTTGATTGGGTGGGGCTACTGGGGAACCCCTTAAAACCTTGAATTGGAGAGCTTGGACCCCAAGTCCTGTCTAGAACGCCTGCAACCATTTTCTCTTAATAAAGGATTCCTGTTGGAAGAATTATTATTCTGTCTTCTTAAGATGCAAAGTGGGGTGGGTCCTTACACACTGCCTCATGAGAAGTGAATATTGAATTAGCCCAGTTTCCTGGGTTGGCACAACTCCTGGAGATATAAACTAGCCAACCATATTTAGTATCTCAAGTGAATCCATTCTAAATACGGTTGCTAAGAAGACAGTTCAGGTCCTGAGAATATTAACCATTGTAGGAGCTGCTCTAAGAGGATTCTAATACAGAACGTAGAATGAGAAGCAATTTCAACAATGGTCTGGTAGCCAGGCGCTCTAAGGGAAGAGGACTCAATAACCATTCACAGAATCTACTCACAACAGCTACTTTGAGTCTGGCAGCATCACTTTCTATCTAGGGTAGGGACAGGGAAAGAGAGAAGTGAAGCCCTAAGGTGAGCAGTAAAACAAGGTTCCAGAAGCCTTCCAAGAAGACTGAGGAAAGAACTACCGTGTTCTGGCTTTTCTTTTTTGATATGTTTGAATTAAATTAGTTGTTTATAACATAAATGTTTTAAGCTGCCTTGAATTACCTTATATGAGTTGGGCACATTTGTTTAATAAATAAATGAAGATTTCTGTGTCCCTGTAAACAAGCATCTGTGCTCAATGAACATTATTTCAATGGGAGGAATAAAATGGGTGCAGCTAAAGAACAGAATACGGTTTATTACTAGTAAACCAGTGTTTGGAGGGATTCTTACTATGGCATCCCAGTGTAAATGTACTTAGGAGTAAAACATACTATATTCTCTGGGGGTCATCTGTGAATTGGTTCTATAGATTAGGATGCATATTCTTACATCAAAATCAGAATTGTAACAGGCAGAACACAATGCTATCTTGCCTACTGAGATATTTTAATGAGTTCTTTGAGTTTCCATTTGTTTTTTTCCCCACTTCCTACCCTTTCTCAACAATCCTCAAATCTTTTTCTCTAGTTTGCCAACTGAAGTTCATCCCATACCTTCCATTACTTTCCGTCTTGAGCAGTAAAACTAATTACTAGTATGCAGTATATTGCAGGCTAACTCTGCTCACAGCAAGGAGTTACAGTGCAAGGTTGACTATCCTTTTCTCCTCCCGAGGTTGGTATTGCCCCCAACAATATTTTCCCCATACTGCTGGGAGCATTATTCTGACACTATAAATAGCTCAGAGAGTGCTGCAGAAGCACTGTGGGGTGGTATACAAGTCTACGTGCTGTTGCTTTTGTTAATTCTGTTGCAAGATACTAGCTTCTTTGCCAGAAAGCAACAATTGACTTCTAAATCTGCATTTCTGGATTCTATTAAACCAAGCTAATATGAAAACATCATTATATATTTTAACAGACATGGAAAAATACGATCCCCCAAACTGAACATATTAAGAAAATCTAAAACCACCTAAAAATAATTGATGCTCGAAGCTAATTTTTCATATCCATTAAGTGTATCTTTGCTTTGTATGTCCTGTATTCTAGCAAAGAAGCCACACAAAAGAAAATCCTCTAGGAAAACAATTCTCTATCCCTTCGTTATATTTTTATCCATTTGGAGTTAGAGTTAGAAAAGAATAATAGTTTTATTTTTTTATATTTCATTTTAGATTTCATGCTATTTTAATTATATAGTACTCTAGCGGAGAGCTTTATTAATTTACCAAGCATTTCTATTTCTAAAAAGAGCCATTTGTTAATACCTTATTGCAGCTTTTATGACTATTCTTCAAAGAGTAAATATAGGATCCAATTTAAATAAGATGCAAAAGCAAAACTGAAAAAGCCTCCAAACTGTTAGAATCAGAAAGATGGAAAAATGATGGGACACTGCATCCATGTGTATACAACACAAACATACAATGAATGACCAATAAAGGAGCATCTGCTCCCTTTTGTAATAGGTGTTTGATATTCCAGAACTGGAAGAGGTAAAAAGGTTTTGCTCTTTTCTAGTCTTTCTCCTTCCTTTTCCTATTTCCTACTAGAACTTCTTTCTACTGATGAACAATGAAATAAACAAGTTATGAGATGGTTTACACATTAAGTATCCTATAAATGTGGATCTGCAAATGCATTCTGAACCACTTCAAAAGTCTTAGAGGTAAATAATCCCGACTTGCACATTGAAGCCACTTACCCCTTCTTTGAAGTGCCTTCAGTCCCTTCTTCTTCTGTTCCTGAAGCCCTGATTAAAAAAAAATTAAAAGCAGCATTTAAGTATTGCTCTTGAATATTTTATCATCACCTGGTCAGCTTGGCCTAGTGATTTATTTGTTTATTTATTCAATTTAATTCCACCCATCTTGTCCCAAAGCAACCCTGGGAGGCTTCCAGCATTAAAACCATCAAAGATAAATCAAGAATGCTAGCAAGGACTGTGATGTGGAGGCTATTGTACATCTTGGCACTAATGATCTGTCTCAAAAAGATGTACTCTCTATGGCTATGCAGAATGATTTCCAGAGCTTTGTATAGCACAATTCAATATGTGGCTAAAGGAGTAGTGTAAAGGGAAAGGCTTTGGATATATTAGTCACGATGTCTGTAGCTGGTCCAATGAAAAAATGTACAAAAGAGATGGTTTGCATCCATCAAAGAAAGGGACTGAGTTACCTGGCTATAAATTCACAGATTTTCTGGAGGAATATTTAAACTAAACAGTGGGGACAGTGAGTTAATTGATACAGAACATCCTTGTCCTGGCAATCTAAAAATTATAGAGCTATCAGTGCATGTAACAAAGGTGTATGTGTGGAAAAGAATATCAACCTTGCTGTCAAGCAAAATCAAGCTTCTAATAGTGAGTGCCACAAAAAGTGCACTAACCAAATAGGTGGTAAAACAATAGGGGAACTCAGGCACCACACAGGTGATGTAGAAAGTAAACACAGGGTCAGTTATAAAGGACTCAAATGTCTATATACCAATGCATAGAGTATGAACAGCAAACAGGAGAACTTGAAATTCAGCTTAATGGGGGCAGATATGATATTGTTGCCATTATGGAAACATGGTTGGATGAAACCCACAGCTAGAGGGATTTAAATTGTTTAAAAGAAGCAAACCAAATAAAAGAGAAGGTGGAGTTGCTCTCTATATTAGAAATAACTACATCTCTACAGAAATAGAGCATAACAATGATAACTGTCTTCAATGTATTTGGATCAATATGAATCGAGGGGAATGACATTGCCATGGGTGTATACTACAGGCCACCCAACCAAACAGAGGAAATAGATGAACTTTTTGCTAGTCAGCTAACTAAGGTATGTAGGAAGCACATCACAATAGTAATGGGGGACTTAAACTACTCTGACATCAATTGGGAGAAAAACTCTGCACCAAGTGGAAGATCAAACAGATTCCTGATAAACCTAGCAGACAAATTTTTCTCCTAAAAAGTAGAGAAGGGAACTAGGGGATTGGCCATTTTGCATCTAATTTTCACTAACAAAGATGAAATGATAGAAGGTGTTGAAGCCACAGGAACCTTGGGAGGAAGTGATTGTGCAATATTGGAATTCAACATTATGGAAGCACAAGCAATAGAACACAGTCAAACTAGAGTCTTGGACTTCAAGAGAACTAATTTCAATAAACGTAGACAGGGCTTGGGAAGGATTCCATGGATGAGAATCCTCAAGGGGAAAACAACTCAAGAAGCTTGGGAAATTTTGAAAAGTGAGATAATAAAAGCCCAGTCTAGCACAATACCAGCAAAGAGGAAAAATAACAGCTTTCAAAAGAACCAGCATGGCTGCATAAAGAACTCTCTGATAAATTGAAAGATAAAAAGGACAAGTATAGAAAGTAGAAAGAGGGGCACAAAATTAAGTCAGAATATCAGCAAATAGCCCGAGCCTGCAAAGATGAAGTGAGGAAAGCTAAGGCTCAAAATGAAGTAAGGTTTGCGACTAAAGTCAAAAATAACAAAAAAAGCTTCTTTCAACATGTAAACAACAAGAAAAAAGTGAAGGAAATGATTGGTCCATTACTGGGTGAAAGTGGCAAGAAGGTGACAAGCAACAGGGAGAAAGCAGAACTATTTAACTCATTTTTTTGCATCTGTCTTTACACAAAGGGAAAAAACAGACCAACCTATCAAAAATAGTGCCATAAAAAACAGAATAGAAACACAAGTTAAGATAGGCAAAAAAAATGGTAAGTGAGCACCTGTCCAGGCTAAACAAGTTCAAATCACCAGGACCAGACAGATTACACTCCAAGGTTCTCAAGGAACTGGCAGATGTGATCTCAGAACAACTGAACTATATTTTTCAAAGATCCTGAGCACTGTGGAACTACCAGAGAACAGGAAAAGAGCTGATGTAATTCCCATCTTCAAAAAAGGGGGAAAAATGGATCCAGGAAATTACAGACCTATCAGCCTGACCTCAATACCTGGGAAGATTCTGGAAAAGATAATCAAACAACGAATCAGCAAACACCTACAGGCAAACAAAGTCATTACTAAAAGCCAAACATGGGTTTGTCAAAAACAGATCTTGTCAGACAAATATTATTGCATTCTTTGACCAAGTGACAAAATTAGTAGATCAGAGGAATGCCGTGGATATAATTTATTTGGATTTCAGTAAGGCATTTGATAAAATAGATCACAACCTACTACTTAATAAGATAGAAAAATATGGGTTAGACAATATCACCACCAGATGGATTCGTAGCTGGCTGACCGGCCGTTCTCAGCAGGTGGTCCTGAATGGAACCACATCTACATGGAGGGAAGTGTGTAGTGGGGTACCCCAGGACAATGTTCTGGGCCCAGTGCTCTTCAACATTTTCATCAACGATTTGGATGAGGGGATAGATGAGGAACTCATCAAATTTGCAGACGACATCAAGCTCGCAGGAATAGCCAAAACTCCAGAAGACAGGCTTAAGATACAGGAGAATCTGGACAGACTTGAACTCTGGGCACTATCTAACAAAATGAAATTCAGTGGTGAAAAAAGTAAGGTTCTACATTTAGACATGAAAACCCAAATGTACAGGTATAGTATAGGGGGTACCTTGCTCAATAGTAGTAACTATGAGAGGGATCTCAGAGCCCACTTAAATATGAGCCAGCAGTGTGCTGCAGCTGCCAAAAAAGCCAACACAGTGCTAGGCTGCATTAACAGAGGGATAGAATCAAGATCACGTGAAATATTAATACCATTTTACAATGCCTTGGTAAGGCCACACTTGGAATACTGCATCTAGTTTTGGTCACCATGATGTAAAAAAGATGTTGAGACTTTAGAAAGAGTACAGAGAAGAGCAACAAAGATGATTAGGGGACTGGAGGCTAAAACATATAAGGAATGGCTGCTGGAATTGGGTATGTCTAGTTTAATGAAGAGAAGAATGAGGGGGAATATGATAGCAGTGTTCCAATATCTTAAGGGCTGGCACAAAGAAGAGAGAATCAAGCTCTTTTCCAAAGCCCTTGAAGATAGGACAAGAAGCAACAGATGCAAACTAATCAAGGAGAGAAGCAACCTAGAGAAACTTCCTGACAGAACAATTAACCTGCCTCCAGAAGCGGTGAATGCTCCAACACTGGAAGTTTTTAAGAAGAGACTGGACAGCTATTTGTCTGAAATGACATAGGGTTTCCTGCTTGACCAGGGAGTTGGACTAGATGACCTCCAAGGTCCCTTCCAACATCATCATCGTCATCATCATCATCATCATCATCATCATCATCATCATCATCATCATCATTGATCATCGCACAGTCAGCCAGATGTTCAGACTAGATTTGGCATTTTGTCTACCTATCGAGTCCTTATCCAGGACCTGGGATAGGCAGATGTGGATGTTTGATGGTATTACACATATCGTCGCAGGATGGAAGCAGTTCGTAGTAAGGCCTCCTTTTTCAATTGACTAATAGCGAATTTGTCAATGCCAATGGTGTTCAAGTTGTGCTCCAGTTGTTTTGGGATTGCACCCAAGGAGCCTATTACTATTGGTACTACCCTTGCTTGCTTTTGCCACAGTCTTTCTATTTCTATTTGTAGGTCTTTGTATTTTGTTATCTTCTCCAGTTCTTTCTCTTCTATTCTGCTGTCTCCAGGCACTGCCAAGTCCACTATCCAGACTTTTTTGTCTTTCTTATCGACAATTGTTAAGTCTGGGTTGTTATGTTGCAGGTGCTTGTCTGTTTGAATTCTGAAGTCCCAGAGCAGTTTAATTTTATCATTTTCTATGACTTTCTCTATTTTATGATCCCACCAGTTTTTGCTTACAGGCAAATGATATTTTTTGCAGATCTGCCAATGCACCATTGTTGCTACTTTGTCATGCCGCTGCTTGTAATCAGTTTGTGCAATCTTCTTGCAACAGCTTACCAGGTGGTTCACTGTTTCTTCAGCTTCTTTGCATAGGCGGCACTTACTGTCTGTTGCTGTCTTCTCAATTTTGACTTTATATGCATTTGTCCTTAAGGCTTGGTCTTGTGCAGCCAGAATTAGTCCCTCGGTCTCTTTCTTCAATTTTCCTGCTCTTAGCCATTGCCAGGTCTTGTTATTATATGCTTTCCCAGCTATTTTTTTAATGTATTGGCCATGTAGTGCTTTGTCTTCCCATGCCTCTATTCTGTTCTTCATTTGGTCTTTCTTGTAGGCCAGTTTGGTCTCTCTGGTAGTCAGTAAGCCTTCCTGATATACTAATTTCAGTGCATCTTCATCATTGTTCTTCAGATATTTTTCCAAAGCCATTTTTTCTTCTTCAACTATCTGATGTACTTGTAGCATTCCACGCCCACCTATTTGCCTTGGTAGATAAAGTCTGTCAATCTCACTGCATAGATGAAGGGCACTATTCATTGTCATTATTTTTCTGGTCTTCCTATCCATTGCTTTTAGTTCTGCTTGAGTCCAGTCCACTATTCCAGCTGTGTACCTAATGACTGGAATTGCCCAGGTGTTGATTGCCTTTATGGTATTTCCTCCATTGAGTTTGGACTTTAAGATCTTCTTCACTCTCTTGATGTATTCACATCTAATCTTTTTCTTGACTTCAGTGTGCTTGATGTTGTCAGCTTGAAGGATACCCAAGTATTTGTAGTAATCTTCCTCATCCAGACTCTTAGTGTTGTTTTCATGGGGCATCTTGATTCCTTCAGTTTTCACTATTTTTCCTTGTTTGATAGTAAGTGTGGCACATTTGTCCAAGCCA